GCTTTTGTGCCAAGATAGGTTGTTTTGAAATAGCAGATCGTATTTATTGCAAAGATGGCATGTAATATTCTTTATCATCTTGTTGCCTTTTTATGTGAGACAAAGAAAATGAAAAGGGCCATTTTAGACAATGAGTAGCTACGGTGATGAAAGTGGCCCAACAGTGCGAATGTACTTAACGTCACCCAGCTGTGCCCTTGCGGATGATGGGATGGTAAATTTCATGCCATATAGATTTACCACAACAAAGTGCTTATTGAACAATGAATAAGTAACTTGCTGTTCCCTGCTCCATGAAATTACGACACAGCTGGACTGCAGCATTTCTGAAGTTCCTGGACATCTGAAACAGTGCAGCGGGCACATTGCTGCTTATGCCCATGTTTTTAATGGAGCAAATAGGACCCTTATTATAACTGTATGGATTTGCTTCAACAAATAGAAATAGGCACAAAGAGAATGTTAAACACTTAGAAGTCATCTTCATTATTAGTGCAAGAGATGTAAGAATTAATCCTGTTGCTCTCCATCGGCCATTTTGTCAGGAAACTGAGGGTGGATTTCCTGCCACAGGGGGTTTGGGCCGCAGTGACTTTTTATCATTTGACCTCAGACATTCCCCTTGTCGGCCTCAGTGACGTTGACTCATCTTGGCATATTCTGTATATCTTGATGAACTTAAAGTGCCTTTTAGTCCTCACTAAGACCAAGAGCCAGGGACGCGCTTCTCATTTCCCTTGGCTGGCAGCCGGGCGTCTTTCGTTTCCTTTTGGGTTTTGAAGCAGGGTCTCAGGTAGCCCTGGCCGACCTCAGACTTGCTGTGTCTCCAAGGCTGACCTTGAATTCCTGGGATTAAGGTGTGTGTCACCGTGTCCTGCTCTAATACATTGTTTTATAAACTCTGTCTCTTAGGTTAGACTTACAGTTCTTCCAAAATCTAGTTGTTTTTTTTTTCCTTCCCTTTCTTTCCTCTCCTCCCAACACTTGTGTTTCTTGTTCTGTTCATCTTGTTGTAAACATGATTTGAACTATCTTCCATAGCTCTTCTCGTATACTATTTTTTTAAAGGTGTGGCTTGCGCTTTTTTTTTTTTTTTTTTTTTTTTGGTAGCTTATGATGATTCCAGTCAGCTTAATGATCATCAAGGACTTAAATTCAAATTTTTCTCTCTCCCCTATGAAATTGTCTTTTTGCTGTAAGGTGAATAAATAGCAGAACTTTGGCAAAATTGTATTTTCTTTAGACATTTATAGGATCTATTTCCATCATAGCCACTCCCACCGTCCCCACTTCCAACCCCGTCTTGCCCCCGAAATTCGTGTGCGTGTCGTCTTAGTTATTACTGTTTTATAATATCTGTGAAACCCACTAAGTCCAATCAGTGCTGCTGTATGTCCTCGGATGTAGGCTGAACCCGGGCTTGGCAACCCGTCAGCGGGCTTGTTCCTGGAGAAACCTGGCTCTCCCTTTCTCAGTGCCATGACTGGCTGTCGCTCTTCAGCCCGGGGCAGGACCATGTGAACCTTTCCCCATGTTCCGTGCAGGTCTTGTCCAGGCAGCCACGCTGTTTAGTGTTCTTGGATACCATATCCAGGTCCTCTGCTTCTTACGGTCATTGTGCCCCATCTTCTGCACTGTCCCCTGAGCCATGAGTGTTATGGTAAATAAAAATGAGTGTGAGTGTGGGGCTATAGATTATTGATTATTATCAGCCCTATGATTATCATGGCGGTTTTATTTAACCCGCTATCACAAATAACAAGACACAGACACCTGTTAGATTTATGATTGCCTTATTACCTTGGGCCGGGCAGGTATTCGTACCTACCTGTCTGAATCACCTCACCACCATCCATCTCCAAGTCCCCATCCAATGTCACTCTCCTTAACCATCCTGTCTTCCATCCATAATTTCTTAAATACTTGCTTTTATTCATTATCTGGGCCTTTTCACGCCATTGTTGGAGTCCTTCCTAGGCCCACGTGGTGTTTTCTCCAGGCTGACCCATCCTGTCATCCTCCTCCTCCTTCTCTTTCTGTCTGTCTCTCCTTCGCATAATTCTTCCTGGGATTCTCGAAAGCCCAGGAACCTTGGCCACGCTTACCCCATTCTGCCCTGCCCAGGTATTATAGGCTGTTTAATTAGCCAATCAGGTGTAATGACTTAGGCAGGTTTACACAGAGAGCCAGTACTTAATTAGTTAGCACCAGACCAACCTCCAATGCATATAAGGACTGTGTCATAAATGTCCTGTTTGGGGGGGTAGGAATTCTGCCTTCTCTTCTTTTGTAAACTTTGATCACATATTGATGTCTGTAACAGCCCCCCATCTGCTATAAAAACAAATGTCTATGAAGAAGGGCTTATAGCCGCACTGTCCGTGCTATAAAGGTGAGCACTAAGAAGACAGGCGGAAACAATATCAGTTTAGCAGGATTGTAGTAGGATTATGACCCAACAGTTATGGGCTCTTGGCTAGGTTTATAGACCCAAATATGAGTTCCCTCCACCTGAGCGGGTCTTAAGTCCAATCAGACAGCTGCTGGTTACCCCCAAAAGATTAGTGCCACTATTACATTGTTGGAGCTCTCTGGTTAGTGCTGTAGCTGTGGTTTTCAGGCTTTACAGCAGGCTAGGACTGTTGATTACTTTTCTCTCTTGCCAACTTGTGTATCACCTTCTGATGGTATGGAAGCCAGACACCGGGGAGAAGGTTTTCTGAGGGTTTAAACTTTTCTGAATAGGGCTAGAGTGTACTGTGAGTGGGAATGCTAGACTGTGCTTGGATTTGAGTCCCTTATTCAATACTCAGTGTCTAGGGACATTAACAGAAACATCATCTGTCACAATAAATTCCTTCATCTTACAGCTCATGCCCCCTTACTGTCCAGCCACCAGCATTCTCTTCACAAGCACTGTAACACATACATGCTATGTCCTGGAATACCAGGCAGCCATAAAAAGGACTGAAGTGATAACTCCTACAATACAGATGAGCCCAGAAATATTCTGATAAGTAAAAGAAGCCACATATAAAAACAACAGAAAATAAACAAAAAACAAAAAGCCTTCACATATTGTACGCCTTCCTTGTTAAGACATGTCCAGAATAGGGCTGTCTGTTGACACAGAGAGCAGACTGGCAATTACCAGGCCTGTAGAGTGGGGTGCTTAGGGGAGATTGCCGAGTGGGTCTGGGCTTTCCTTTGAGGAGTGAGAGGAAGGCTCTAGAGTAGCAGTGCCTGGTGTAAACATTGTGGATCCACTTGCTGCCAATGAATCCAGACTCTTAGATGGTAACTTTTATTACATGCCCTTTTATCACAGTTCAAAAACCAGAAATCTTCCATCCATCCTTAGGTGGTCTTTAAAAAAAAAAAGGACTAATTTTCCTCAACAGTAATCCTCCCCGGCTTCATGGTCCCAGGCAGCACAAACAGCCTGGAGAGGACAGTGTGTCATATAGGGTGACAGTAGGCTGTGAAACCAAGCGGTGACAGTGGGCACATCCAGCCTTGAAGCTGCGAGCAAGGGGCAGCTTTCCTCTGAGTGTGCCCCTCTGTAAGCTGTCACGATCCGGTCAAGGTAGCACATGGGCTCTGACGCCCTGTGGCCCTTCCTAGGGCATTGCTGTCTCCCGTCAGCCAGTGAGAGGCTCTGGGAGTCTGCTCATTTCCTGGACTCCAGGTTTCTCAATCTGTTTTCCTCCTTCTCAAATGCTGGATTTGCATGCATGTGGAATCGGCTGCCAGACCTGCATAAGCTAGAAGGCCCCCTATCGAGTGCTCAATCACTTTTCAGTCTGACCAAGAGCAGTGACCAGATGTGGCCAAGGTGAGGGATGTGTGGTCCCGCTTGCTAAACTTCTCCTTCTGTGGTTCCTCTCAAAAGTTCTTCATTTTCCATGACACACCAGTGTTGGGGACTGAGGTTAAATGCGATGGACAGGCAGACTGCTGTGTGCGTCTGTGCTGATCCACAGCTGAGTCAGTGGCAGACACGGAGGTGGGGAGAGTTATGGGGACCAACGTGGAAGAAAGGAAGTTTGAAAGGCCAGAGTGGTAGAGTGCTTGCCTGGCATGCGGGGGGGGGGGGGGGGGGGACGAGGGACGTGTGTAAATCTGCTTTCTGTGTAAACCACTTGACTTGTCTGAGGGTCTACTCCAGTTTCTAGACTATTTCCAGCATCAGCTTTAAGTATAAAAAAGAATTTAGAAGGGCTGGATCTGAAGCACAAAGTTAGGAAAGTCTATCCTTCAAAATAATGGGTGACATGTTTGCAGGGAAGAGGGGCAAGAGTATCTCACGTGAAGTGTTGGTGGAAATGTGTGCTGTGACTCACGCTGGGAAGGAGGAGGGAGGTTCCTCAAGGAAGCAGACAACCCCAGCAGCCTCACAGCCTCTCTGAAGACACAGCTGTCCTCGCATGGCTGCCACAGCACCATTCACAGGGGACAAGATGGGGAAGCGAACTCGGTCCTCATCAGGGACATGCAGTAAAGTAAGCATGGCAAGTCAGCCACAGCAGCATACCCCCCAGCCATTAAAGTGAGAGCGACCCTGTCATTCATGACAGCGCAAAGAACCTGGAGGTTGTTACCCATCACAGGTGAGGCCCGGATAAGCACTGCGTGAAGACTTTTGGCAAGGGGATCTGAAAAAGATAAACCTAGAGAAGTGGAGAGTTGAATGGTGGTTCCTAGGGGCCGAGTGGCTAGGAGGGGGAGATGGCCATGGTTAGTAAAAGTTTCAGATAGGCAAAAGGATGCTTTTTAAGATTGTTATGATTATGGCAGAGTGGCCATCCTTAAAAATAAGTATGTGTTTCAAATTGCTAAAAGGATAGCTATTTGCAAGCACAATAGACTTTTTGCTGTGCAGCAGAACAGACTCTCTTCCTCCTGCCGCTGTGACTTTGTACTCCTTGACAAGCCTCTCCCTGGACCCTTTGTATCCTTAGGCCTTTATTCTTTAATATCAAGATTCTTTTTTTTTTTTTTTTTTTTTACTTTCTTACTTTTATTTATGACAAATATTCCCGACCTCTTCTGATCAAAAGTTCTTTGAGACAATTCCATCAGCTTTAGCCAACCGGAGAATAGAATCATCTGACTCGCCCATCCTGCGAATGGCCCCGCAAATAGCATAGGTTTTATACTGGCCATTAAACCGGCCTGTGACCTTGTCAACCTCAGCCACATTCAACTGGATGGACGCGTGGTCCTTGGCACCAATGATGCGGTTGCTCGCGGAGCATTTCCGCGGCACGTATAGGTCCACGAACTCGCCGGCGTTGTTCTGCATGTCGAGGCCGTACCTACAGAATCACCACCCGGGTCATGAGACTGGCCAGGCCGGCATGCCGAGTCAGCGGCCCTAGCCAGACCCATTCCCGAGCGCTCCCAGCCATGCCACCGCGCCCGACCCGGCCCAGGTCGCGCCCACAGAGCGCCTCGCGGCCTACCTCTAATATCAAGATTCTTAAGGCCAGGCATGGTAGCATATGCCTTTAAGCCTTAGGAGACGGAGGCAGGAGAATCCCTTTGAGTTCTAGGCCTGGTCTATGTATCAGATTCCACGACACCAGAATTATGTAGAGAGACTGTGTTTCAAAAAAACAAAAACAGCAGCAAAAAGATTCTTACTAGCTTAGTTGGTAGAGCGCTTGCCTAGCATGCGCAGAGACCTGGCTTCAGTCTTGAGTACCACAGAAACAATGGTGGCAATGCCTGTCGTCCCAGCACTCGGGAAATAGAAGCAGCTCTCTTCCTCCCTCTTTTTTCCCCTTCCTTCCTTCCTTCCTTCCTTCCTTCCTTCCTTCCTTCCTTCCT